AGGGAGGGAGGGAGGGAGGGAGGAGGGAGGGAGGAGAAGGAGGAGGTGGAGGAGGAGGAGGAGGAAGAGGATGAAGATGAGGAAGAGGAGGCGTATGGGAAGGGGGAGGGCGGAGGGGAGGAGGAGGAGGTGGGTGACCATGAGGAGGAGGAGGAGGAAGAGGAGGAGGAGGAGGAGGAGGAGGAGGAGGAGCATGGGGAGGAGGAAGAGGAGGAGGAAGAGGAGGATGAGGAGGAGGAGGAAGAGCAGGGGGAGAAGAGGAAGAGGAAGCGCAGGAGGATGATGATGAAGAGGAGGAGGGGGCGGAGGAGGAGGCGGAGGAGGAGGAGCAGGGGGAGGGGGAGAGGGAGGGAGGCGGGAGGTCCTGCCTCTCGACCTGCTGCTCATGCCGCAGTTCATCCTGGCGGGCATGTGGGCCGACAGGGCACTGGGGGGCGACGGCGCCGCCCGCGTGGACGGGGGCGCCGAGGTGCGAGTCCAGTCGCCGCCGCCGCCGCCGCCGTCACCGTCGTTGTCGTCGTCGTCGTCGTCGTCGTCGTCGTCGTCGTCGTCGTCGTCGTCGTCCACGTCGCCGTCGCCTTCGCAGCTGCCGTCGCCGCAGTGCCGTCGTCGTCGTCGCCGTGGCCGTCGCCGTGGCCGGAGTCGTCGCCGTCGCCGCCGCCGCTGTTCCATCTCGCGTAAGGCCCGTTTCTGATTGTCGCGCATCGGAAAGCCACGATCGTTCACGGAGGAACGATCCGGCCGTGTGCGAGGAGGGTCCCCGCGCAGGAGCCGCCACGGCACGAGGACCCGCCGCTTGTGGGCCCTCCTGAGGAGGCGCAGGAGGCGCTCGGAAGGCCAGCGGCGCCTCGGGCAACGCCCGGCCAGTTTCGACCAGAAAACAGACGACACCACCCCACCTACGGTCGGACCGAAGTATACGATCGAAATCGGTTCGCAGAGGGAGCCCTCGTGTTCTTCCTCTTTGTCGGATGTTCTTGTGCATCGTGGCGAGGAGATTCTTGGATGTTCTCTGTGCTGTGGCCAGTGGACGGTCTCATGTTTTTGGAGGGCTCGGGGCGATTTTTGCAGGGTGGACGTCCCCCACATGCCCAGGGACTCCAGGGCGCTGGTGGTGACAGGCGTGGTGGGGGGTCACCGGACGATTTTTGAAGGGTGGGTGGTGGCCCCTAGGTATTCGTGCCCACAGGCCCACTTGGTTGGCGGTGTTAGTGGTGGTGTCGGATCTCGGGACGAATTTTCCAGAGCGGGTGGCCTTTAAGAACCCTTGCCCAGAGGTGCAGGCGGCGTCAGGCTGGCGGGGTCAGGCGTGATGGGAAGTCCCGGGACGATTGTAGCAGGGTGGGTGGATCCAAAGGATCCATGCCCAGAGGCCCGAGGAGGCGTGTGGAAGTCCCCAGACGATTTAACAGGGTGGGTTGCACCAAAGAACCCATACCCAGAGGCTCCAGGAGGGGTGCGGCACGGTGCGGTGTCAGGCTTGGTGGGTGGCCCCGAAGAGTTCATGCCCACAGGCACCACGAGGCTGGTGGTGTCAGGCGTGGTGGGGGGGGTCCCTGGACGATTTTTTCAGGGTGGGCTGCCGTCAAGAAGCCATGTCCAGAGGCTCCAGGAAGTTGGCTGTGTCAGGCGTGGTGGGGGGTCCCGGGACGACCTTTGCAGGGTGGGCGGCCCCCAAGGACCCATACCCAGAGCCTCCAGGAGCCTGGCGGTGTCAGGCGTGGTGGGGGTTCTCGCGGCGATTTTTGCAGGGTGGGTGGCCCCAGGCCCGAAGACCCCTTGCCCAGAGGCTCCAGGAGGCTGGCGGTGTCAGGCGTGGCGGGGAATTCTAAGACGATTTTTGCAGGGTGTGTGGTTCCTCCAAACACATGCCCAGAGGCTCTGGCGGTGTTAGGCGCGGTGGGTGGTCCCGGGACGATGTTTGCAGGGTGGATGGCCCGCAAGAATCCGTGCCTGCAGGCTCCGGGAGTCTGGCGGTGTCAGGCGTGGTCTGGTGTCCTGGGGCGATTTCTGCAGGGTGGATGGCCCTTGCGAGCCCATGCCCAGTGTCAGCTGCGAAGAATCGCGTCCGCGGCGGGCGCGGGACGGTCTCGCGGGCGGTGCGGGAAAGGCGACCGCATCGGCGGAGGCATGCAGGAGAGCCACGCGTCGGCGCGGTGCCACCGTGGGTTTTGTGTAATGCAGCGCGACCCGCTTCCGAAGGGCGATTCGCTTGATCTTGTGCGCGTGGCGGTCGATGCGACGCCAGCCGGACAGGCCTTGAATCCCCGGGCGGTTGCTTTGTTGATGTTGCAGGGGTGAATCAAGGGCGTCGAGGCCACGCGCGGGCGCGCATTCGAGCGCTATCGCAGGAGGCCGTGCTCTGTCTCTCTGTCGCGAGGATTTTGAGGGTCTGACGGGCAGCGAGTTGGCAATGGTCTGGCCCGCCTCGGAGCGGACGCCTGGAGTGGCATGCCAACTCGCGGCGTGTGCGGCGACACGCAAACGGCGGAGGGCGTCGGCGGGCCCAGGATGCGCGGCCCGGCCGGATGTTCCTTCGCCAGGGATCGCGCGCGCGCGATCGCTTGTGCCGCGGATCCGCAGGCCCCCGCCAGTGGGGCGGTGGGGGCTCGGAACGCGCAGCCCGGGCAGGCGTCCGCCCGCGGCGCGGCGCGCCCGCGGCGCGCCCGCGGCTCGACGAGGTGCGGGCCGCTCTGCGGGAGCTGGTCGGCCAGGGGGGCGGGGTATCCCCCGTGTCCAGTGCGGCTGGCATGCCTCCTTCGATTTCTCGGGAACGCCATTGCGCCCCCGGCGGCGCCCGGCCTTCCGGCGCGCCCTTCGGAAGGGGGGCGAGGCGCCTGAGCGTCGCGGGATCGATTGGGCGGCGCAGGCGCAATCTCAATCGACTCGCCCAGCAAGAACAAGAACGTGGTCCGGCGTGCTATGAGGAAGCTGCACATTCGCATGTGGCACGCTCCAGCGTTGCGTCTTAAGGAGATGCTGGTGACCGCCGGAGCGCCCCAGCATGCCTTTGACCTTGTACAGGTGGTGTGTGATATTTGTCTGGCTTGTCGTGCCTGGCATCGACCGGGGAATCGAGCCATTGCTAGTAGCCGAATGGTCGTGGACTTTAATCGAGATGTGCAGGTGGATTTGCTGTTCCCGAAGAGTCTGATAGTGATGCATGCGGCGTGTACTCTTGTGCGTTTCACGGTTGCAGCAATTATTGTGGACAGGACTGCGCCCGAAGTGCTGACGGCGATCGCCCACTATTGGTGCAGAGTGTTTGACCCGCCATCAGCGTTGGCCTCAGGCCACCAAGGCGCGCTTGACAGCGACGAGGCGAGAGCTTGGGCTTCAAGGTGGTCCATCAAGATGAACCTACGGCCTCGTGGTGCGCATGCGAGAACGGTCGAATGACACAGCGAGCTAATACGTCGGCAATTCTATCTTGTTGATGAGCAGTGGTTACGAGATGGCCTGATGATGCAGCGGTTCTTGATGAATGTGTTATGGCTAAGAACTGTATGATCTCGGTCACATGCAACTTGACGCCGTACAAGGCGGTGTTTGGACGGACTATCCCTATGCTGGCGGACTTGAAACCAGCATCAGTTACAGCGCTGGAAGATCAGGATGACGGCATTGATGGCACCCCTCGTCATATACACCGACTGCGACAAGTAGCTCTTGCCAGTATTATCCAGTAGTGGGCAGGGCTCTTCAGTCGCGCGCGCGTCCTGCTGGTGAATGTCAGAATCTTCGACTGGGGGATCTGGTTGACGCGTGGAGAGCACCTCCCAACAAAGATGTCTCCGGTTGGAGTGGGGCCGCCACTGGTGAATACCAGCCGGATCAGCGAAGGTGCGATGGGCGTCCAATGGCACCCCCGGACGCTAAGTTGTCGTCTAGCTGATGTACGTCGCTCGTTGTCTATGGCGGTGATGGTTTCCAGCAAGCATTCTAGGCAGTACTGGGACATGCTCGTGCAGAACTTCGCGGGGAGTGCTGAAACAGGTTTGGTGACCTTGGCGTGTGTGAATGCATCTGCAGGGTGGCAGCATTTTCGCAATTGTGCCACACATCCCATCATGTTTTACGCTCTGCTTCGCGTGGCTGCTTGTTGTCTGCCAATTCAAGGTAGTACTGGAGGCCGACTCGGCCATGGTGCCAGAGCCTTGGGGCGCGTTCCTGGTGTCGACGAGATTATTATCATGCACTGGACGTCGGGTGCGTTCAGCGACTGGAAATGGCAGCAAGCTGTTGGTGCGATGGGGTGCGCCGCAGAAGACTTGTTCGGCGATTCGTGGAAGAATGTGGTCTTCGCTCAGTTCTTCATAGTGGCCATGGAGGACGTCGAGCTTGCTCGAGGTGCCATGCCAGACGTGCCGCATCTTGGACGGATGTATGAGCATTCTGGTTTCGAGGAAGGAGCGCCGCCTCCGGCTGTGCGTCTGCCTGGGGTCCGGCGTCCACGGGGTGGTGATGAGGACGAAAGACCTCTTGCGAAGAACCGTCGTGTCGATGAATCCATTGTTTTTTGCCTGCCGGGAGACCGTATGCGACGCGTTCTATTGATTCGCAAGGAAGTGGTCATCCAGCTCCTCATGTTGCACCTTGTCTATCACCTTCTGATGGCAGTGCGGACGCATCAGAGGCTGCCGATGATGATGACGGTGCACAAGATGAAGAAGCCCGGGATGAAGATCTATACTGGGGATTTGTCTATGGAGGTCGTGATCCCCCTTCCGCAGCGCATGTCTATCATGGTGGCCAAGCACCCGCTGTTGAGTTGAGTCCCGAAGATCTTGAATGACCCATTGAGCTAGTTTTTTTGGGGGGGGGCCAGGGGACAAGCGCGGCGATTGGGACTTACCGAGCAGAAGCTGATGCCAGGACAGGTGCTGGTCATGAACATGTCAAGGCTGGGGACTCGCCAGTAATGGACAGGGGGCCTGCACATTCTCTCAGCAGCCGAGGCCAAGAAGCATCGGGACATGGTGGTTGCGGCCAAGCTCAAGGAACTTAAGCGATGGGTTGTCTGTGGTGTTGTTGAACGAACGCATGAAGGAGAAAGATGCAGACAATAGGATCGACTCTTGTTGGGTCATCAAGTTGAAGATTATCGATGGAACTCGAGATGTGAAAGGCCGTCTTACAGTGCGAGGTTTCAAGGACCGTCAGAAAGCATGAGAAGGGACGCATAAGGACCGTGGCCAGAACTGCGTCCAGATGGGGACAGAGAGCAATATATTCTGCTGCGCAGCATGGTTGGAAGCTCTGGTCACTGGGTGTCTTCATGGCTTTCCTGCGCGGCAAGACGTTCGAGGAGTTGGCCGAAAGGTTTGGTTTCAAGCTGGGGGGGCTGCAGTTTGATCTTCCTCCAGATGGCGCTGCTCTTCTCGAACGGATCGAAGGGTTCGAAGACTTCGATGGGGTCGCGGAGACGCTCAACATGCGGAAGCCTGGTTTCGGGACCAATGATGCTCT